TCCATGACCGCCATTGCTACGCGCTCACGCGAATGCATTCCGGACACGTAGTGGCGTAACGGTGCAACGCAATGCTCTAAACATACGGGTCACGATAGCGCAGTTAACTTGTATATCCGCCATGAGTCCATTTCGTGATACGTTCGCGCCGAAATTAGCCGTTATTTCGACGAGAATCGGGATAACGTTAGAGATAGATATTTATTGAAAATGGGAAGATGGTCGACTCGTTCTAGAAAAATAAAAAAAAAAAAAGAAACGAAACTCGAGCAACCTCGTTTTTCGATGAATCATTTAACAAGGAAAGAATTTTTTTTTTAAATAAGGAAAGAAACTCGAAGCTAATATGAATTAGAATTCGATATTTGATTTTTCTTATTTATTATTTTCCAAAATCAAAATGAAAAAAAGAACTCCCCTACGTATCTTTTCTTTCATCCAAGATTTTTCTTCTTCGATGCTGGTTGGCCATTTTAAAAACCCATTTTAGAGGGAAGAAAAAGAAGAATCTGAAGCACGTATTCCCCCAATAAATTCGCGGAATTTAACGCGTGATATTATGGACGATTTATCGTTTATCGCGTGTAATCCAGATGCAAATTATCGTCTTGCAGCATCGGTCCACGGTGCGCTTAATCAGCTCGAGCCACGATGGCATCGTAAAGAGCCACTCCGGCCCGGCTATTAGCCCCCCTCCCCCGCACAGAGAAATTCCCAAGGTGGCTGTCACAATTAGCTTAAGCAACTTCTAAGCGGCACAATGACCGTCGTCGTGAAGGGAAGTTCCTCGCGTATTTCCCTCACGTACCTTCCCCCTCCCCCTTCCTCTCGAGCTACTCTGAAAGCGGATGTTACTACTACTACGGAGGAATCTTGCAAGGGGGAGAGGGGGAAGCGTAAAATCGAGAACCCCCCTGTTTTGAGGGATGATGGAAACGTCGAAGGATTATTCTTTATCCTTTTCTCTTGTTCGATATTTCTCGAGGAAGGGAATATTTGTATTCGTGATTGTAATAAGAAGAAGAACGTATCGAGTGTAACAATGAATTCTATGCAACAATTTCAATTTCTCTCAAGATATATTTCTGCGAACAAAATCTTTTGCAAATATTGCGAAGATAAAGAAGAGAAGGTAGAGATGGGGGAGGGGATGTGGAAATATAAATTCGATTCGACACTTCTCGCGAGAGAACCCGTTCGAGGATATTTCGACGAAACAAGCAATTCGAATAATAAAAGGGGAACGTTGCACTTTGGAAGAAAAATATTCAACCAACCGTCTCTCGAGGCGTTCGACCTCTCCCTTCGTTTACCTTCTCCTTATCGTCCACTCCTCGTTCCGTATCCCCCTCGAGCGTCGAACTCATCGTCTGGTGAAACCTGTTCGTCGAAAGATTCTTCTCTTAAATAATTAAACGCTGCCCTTTCCTCTCGCCTTCTGTCGAAACACGAAAAGGAAGTTCCCCCGTTTCGGGTATCTGACCTGATCTGGTTTGAATAATTCAAGCAGGGGGATGCTTGGAAGGGAGGAGGAACACCGTGGAAATTGCATCGAGTGATTTATGTTTCCACGGGGGGGTCATGGGGAAAAATGTTTTTCAGTAAAGAAAAAGAGGGAGAGAGAGAGAGAGAGTTGCATTTTGTTTGGCGAAGTGCAACTGGTTTGATAAAGTGGTACGTGATAAGTTATATTGTCTCACGGATATCGGTGTAGCGTTTGAACGATGTGGGATGTGGCGATAAATCATGGAGGAAGTATGGAAATTTTTGGCAAACTCGAGGATATATACTTGAATTTGCAATGTAATGCAATCTTTGGAAAGAAAAATTACGAAGCGAATAAGGATGAATTTTTATAACGAGTCGTTTAAGATTCGTTCCATTGTTGATACGTGTTTTAAAGAAGAAAAAAAAAATAATTTTCTTTTACGTGCGAAAATTAAACAATCCCGTTATAAGTCAAATATTAAATTTAAAATACGTATATGAATTCTTCAATATTTTTCCTGTATGTTCATATATTTGTCACGTTATTGCATTCCTGTGCAGATTCATATTGAAATAAACAAGCGTTGGAAAACTTTTATTATATACGTTCGAGACAGATCGAGCGAAATTATCAATCGAAATTATATTCTTAACCCCTTCGTTGCGAATATTCGTTTTGCATATTCGTTTTGCATATTCGTTTCGATAAATTCATAATGCAACACTAAAAAAAAACATTCAAATTAATAATATAACAAAAACAAGAATATCTCTCTCTCTCTTTCTCTCTCTCCTTCAAGACAGATTATATTACGATAAATTAATTTTCATTTAAATAACGAAACGTAAGCATTTACATCCAAACGTTATTCTCGTCGATAAATCTCATCATGGTTAACGAAACAATGCGGAAACGGAAGACACACGCGGCACAATACGACGTGTCGGAGCTTGGCCAGTGTTAAAAGCAACCAGATTACACGGGTCTTGCGTTGTTTCCCCCATGTTTCCCTTTTCGAGCGATTTATGCGAACGTGAGACGACCATTCCGTCCCTGTGGAACACATAGAGATGTTATTACTTGGCTCAACCATCACTGTCCGTGCGCCTCTACGTTGCGTAATTCAGCAACAAGTGGCAACTTTCCTCCCGCTTTTATTAGGCCGTCATCGAAGGGATGCCTCGTCTGACCATACGCGCGCTTGTACCACTCACGGGCTCCGATATAGGGGATGATGAGCCGTGTCGCGTGAGCCAGACGTCGATGAGTTTTTGTTATATCGAGATTGCCTCGTGAAGAGGAATACATTTTTGCGATATTTACACGCAAACGTTATGTCTAATTTTTAACAGATTTGTGTTTCATTTATTTGTTTTAATTTTTTCTCAAAGTCGAAACTTCGTTATTTATTCAGGGAACAAATTATCAGCAATAATAACAATTCTTCTTCAAATTTCTTTTCGTCGATCTTGGAGATCAAACGTGTTCGATTTAACATCTTCATTTAGTATTCCAAATTTTTCTAAATTCGATCTCGAACAAGGGAAGCAAGGGAAAGTTAGTAAGACGTATTTCTTCCTCCACGATCTCGCATCTCGCGTTCGAGGGAAGGGAAGGTTCAATACCAACGATTCGATAGGAAGATTTATAAGCGCGATGATGCGGTAAATCCTCGTAATTCTCTCGGCAGAAGAACTTTTGTGTTCAACTTCCTTGAAATAAGTTACATCTATCCGCAATTTAAGATGTCGCGAATATTTAAAAACTTCCCCCTTCCCTTCTTTATCGAGGATAAGAGCTTATCGATTTATCGATGATCCATCCACCTCGTTGTTATTTTTCAAAAAATCCATTCTTATTCTTGGCCCTCGCGCCACGAAACTTTGCCAAACGACTGTTCGAAAACTTTCCTCCCCTCGTTTCATCGCCATTGTTTCCTTTGCGGATAATTCCTCGTGAAAAATGGAAAGATTCTCAGATCAAGAATTAAAATATTGAAAAATATCCAAGATCCATTTATTATTGAAAATAATAAATTTCTATTTCTGCTGATATTTTTCGTTTGGTTTTCGTAAGTAAAAACTCGTTCGTGGCAATCTTGCGATTTACTTAAAATTGAGGCAATCGAACGTATAAAATATTTATACGTGGTGAATATTGAGAGTCATTGCTGGTCTATTTCAATTTAATCCCATAAATTCTCATTCTATATCCATCTTTAAATCTGTTGGGAGAACATCTTGAATTTCTTCGATGAAAGTTTGAAAGTTGCAGCAGGGAGAAGGGTTGTAATCGTAGGAAGACGCAATATTTAAATACTAGTGTACCATTAACGGTGAATTCATTCTCTTGGATTTCTTTCTCGGTGAATTATCGTGAAAGTGTTGGAGATAGAGTTTCAGGATTCTTCTCCATCCTCCTCCAATTTTGAAACGGATATTCGCTTTTATTTCGCTTCTCTCTGATATTTTCTTCAATTCGATTCACCAAAATTAATTAATATCGAAAAGAAAAACAATATCGATATTCAAACCTCGATGAAAACGAAATAAGCAAAACTGTAATACTTGCAAAATACGTTCCTTCCTCTCTTCTTACCCCTCGATTGAAGGATCCTCTCAACAGACGCGAGAATTACTCGAAGAAATTGAACTTATTTCGAACTTTCCTCTGCCTCGAAAAAGAAAGAAAGAGTGGAAAATAAAAATGTAGATTGGTTGAAAATATCGTTCTAAATCGTGATTGGTGTGCGTGCACGCGTGACAACGCAACGATATCGTGCAGCACGCAATCGTTCGTACGTAAGTGCGTTTAATTAAAACGGGGTCACTAAGTTGAAATGATTCTATTCCTTTCTATTTTCTCTTTGTTTTCTCTACTTTTTCTTTTTCCTTTTTCCTTGTCGAAGGCGTGGTCGCGACAATCTGGTTCGAACGTAACGAGATAGCTATATTTACGATAGCTTTCTCTTTGTTTTTTTATTTATTTTTATCGAGTAGATATAGATCGCTGGATGTTGAGAGAGTTGAAAAATCGGTATTTCTTTGGGAGAAGATAGAAAGAATTTAAAAAGTATCTTGTCGAAAATGGAAAAATAAATGAATCGTGAAAGATGATTTATGTGTATTGTATTTTACGTAAAATAAGGAGATCTTTTATTGATTGGAATTTGGATTTTATGATCGAGATGCAAATTGGTGATGGGTTCATCATTATCCAATTTTAAGGTATATTGGGTGACAGTTGTTTTAGAAGTCTTAATGAATTTTTACATTTAAAAGAAACTACGGCCAATCTCCATTGGAAATTGATTTATAATCGTTCAAAAGGGGGGGAAATTTCTTTCAAACTCGCATCAACAATTATCGAGGATGGAAGGAGAGATATCTCGAGATAAATTGAAAATTATATCGAAAACTCGTTTCATCCTGATTACTTGTTCTTCTTTCTTTCTTTCCTTCTTTCTTTTTTTAAAAATGCTCTGACCAATGTATACCTGTTTCTGTTTCAGTATGCGGCGACATTCACGGACAGTTCTACGACCTGATGAAGTTATTCGAAGTGGGCGGATCACCCTCCACGACAAAGTATCTCTTCCTCGGCGATTACGTAGACAGGGGTTATTTCAGTATCGAGGTGAGTTTGAAAATTCATCATTCTCCCGTTTTTTCACCCTAACTTTAAACGCATGAACGAGGAATTAAAGAAATTCTCTTTTCTCGAATGTGTAACATATCCGTTTGAAACAATCTCGGTCAAATTTTCTAGATTCTTTTCCTCGAAATTTTTATATCGAGGAGGAGAATGAAAATTGGCCTTTTCTTATCGCGACGATGGAGGAGAACGCGTGCAGACTCGTGAGGAAGCTGATTTCCCTCTCTCCGTCGACTCTCTAATTAACGATCCGCTCGGTTAATTGCTCGATTAATACGCTGCAGGAGTTATAAAGAATCTCGTGGGAGGGATCTTCTTCGAGATTTGCATCTCTCCATTCGATTTTCCGCGCGCGTTCCGTGCTTTATTATCGTTTTGAGTGTATAGAGAGAATATATAGAAAAGGTTTCCCTTGTAAAGATCAATTTCACCGTGAGAAAAGAAAAGAAAAGAAAGGAAGAAATTTTCATAGGGAGATATAATAGATTTTTCTCGTTTATTTATCCCGCTCAAAATGACTTGGAAATTTTTTAACGTGTTGCGTAATTCCTTTCTCTCTGCGAAATATGAAACGTAGTCGTTAAGTGGAAGAAATTAGTGGTTTAATTAGATGGAAAGAGAATTACTTAGAGTTGTGCCGGTAACTAATTAGAGCCAGTTTACGTGTGCTTCCTCAGCGGCCAGGTCATCTTGTAAATTTTTTTATTCAATTAGTAACTCGTATCATTGGCCAGAGCTTCTTCTTTATATCAAAAGAATTGCATATATATCATAATAATGATACGTGTATTGCAATGTATTTCTTCTTTCTTTTTCTGCTTCCTGCTTGCTTTTTTACAACAGCTTTCTCGTAAATCCATCGTATTCCATTCTTTGAAACGAAATTGAACACGTATCATTTATAAATACGATATAATAAAACTCAAATCTATTTCTAACCTTTTCGAGGATTTAAATTAAATATTCGTAGAATTCGCTCAACGCCATCAGTCTTGTGACGTTATATGCATTGCTCTCGACTGTCAAACCGATCTAAATCCAATGTTTCTAAACCTGTAAATGCCACGAAATGAAGTGATACATCTTCGTCACTGTCGCTGTTCCATTAATGAATTTCATCCTACCGCAAGAGAGATAAACACTTCGCGTACGCCACGTAATAGGAAACGTTAACACAATAGAATCTTGGAAAGTTCGCGTAACGTAAGTCTAAATCATCATCGATTCGAAAATATTTTTATCCTTCCTTTTTAACGCTCCTTCAAATTAAACATCTTCTCCACAAAATATCAAAAGCTCGCGTTCGAAAAGAAAAGAAAAGAAAAGAAATCGTACGATCTAATAGAATAACGATCGAGAGAATTTCGAACGGACGGATTGAAAAATCCATGGGGCAGTTTTATTAAGAGGATCTTGGACAACGCGAGCATCTGCACACGCGACGAATAAGGACGCAACGAACCTCCTCCTTCTCCTCCTCCTCCTCCTCCGTGGAGGATCGATACTCTCTACCCGCAATATGCTTCGCTGGATTCCCTGGAGAGAGAGAGAGAGATATCCTTCAGATCCTCGTTTACCGCGCGATATACACCGCTTTCCACGCGGATTTTTCGTTTTTCAAGGAGAAAAGGACGAGGAGGAGGGAAAGACAAGAATAAGGGGAGGGGGGAAAGTGTGGAAGAGAAGATATTTATTAGTGGCAACGGAGGAAGTGTTGGAGGAAGTGTTTGTCGAGGAAGTGATGATGGAGGAAGAGAGAAATGCGTGTAAGGGGAATATTTAACGGTGATGGGGAAGATAAATGGAAATGGAGCGCGTGTGGAGCGCGTTGTAAGAGTGTGTGTGTGGAAGAAAGGATATGCGTGGAGGGAGGGAAGTGGAAAAATGAGAAGAGAGTTGATCAGGAGGAGAAGAAGATTCGAAGAGGGGGTTGATTATTCGATTGAGCGAAAGAAGTTGAAAGGTTGTCGAAAAAGGAAACAAATAGAATTGAAGGGAAGAAGAAATGGAAAATGATAGACAAGTTTGAGATGTTGAGAAAGTTGATTAAAGGCAACGAGGGAGGATAAGAAAGGTGGAAATTATTCTTGCTCTCCACGCTGTTATTTAATTGAATAATTTATAGAGATAAATTTCTTTCCGCATTGTGACGAGAAATAATAAGTTTGGGCTTCTTGATTAAGAAATTTTCTCGAGGAAGAGAAAAAGGATTAATTGTGACTTTTCCCCCATATTGTAAAATTTTAAATATCCTTCCTTTCCAATGTTATTTCATTTCGAGTGAAACTATTTTGATTGGCTATATTTTCAAACGTAAAAAAAAAATTATTAAAAATCACTTAGAAATATACTGAGGATCAGTACAGTGAACTAGTGGATAATTATGTGAAAAACAGGATCCAGACTAAGTGATTAAGAACGGACCAGAAGCCATGCCATCATTTTAACAATCGGATTCGACTCTATGATAAACGAGAATGATTTCGATTGAGTTTCCAACATTTGGATGGAGTTAGAGTTTGATTTCTGGGACTTAGGAGGAGCTTGCAACTCGAAAGACGGATTCTGCTTCATCTGGTGTTAAGTAGAATTTAAATCGTGCCATCACGGATTCAAATACGATTCAGATTTACCAGGGATCAGGAGAGACTCTTAAAACAGATTAAACAAATTAAATAAATTATCTAGATGGATTTTTAATAAAGTCTCTTAAAAAAACCTATCCTCTAAATAAGTTTCGTGACACGAAACTGTTATTATTATATCGAATTTTCCAACAGATGCTTGTAAAATAATAAATTTTCAAGAATCGGAAGGAAATAACTAGAATCGAATTACAAGAAGGCATCGAGTTTTGAAACGAACGAAAGAAGCCAAAGAAAGGATTCAAGAATCGAAGAAGGAAGTCGCGTTACCGAGAAATGATAGAGAAGAAAATGGAGGAAGGGAATAGAGGAAAATTGGACTCGGTTAAAGCGGAAACAAAAAGGGTCCGTTGGCGAACAGGAAGCTGAAACGAGCCCCTGAAGCGATTCTGGGGAGGAGGGGAGAAGTGAGCAAGAACAGGGAACAAATCGAGCAAGATGGTTATGACATACGGAGAGAGAGAAAAAAAAAAGCAAGGGAAGGAAAATAAATTGGAGGATTCTGTGAAGGATCAATCCTTTGACCCTCTTATCTTTATATCGTCGATATCGTTTAGTGGATTTCTTTCGTGTGTATCCAGATGGTACTTATTTCCTGCTCGAAAGACAAAGACAAGTATGGAGGAGATACAGTACCAGCTAAAAGTTTGGAAAAGGTATCCTTTATAATTAAAAATAATTACCAGTAATCTATAAATATAAAGAAGAAATTTATGTGATAATATTCTCTCTCATTTTCATCATAAAACTGCTATTCTTAAATCATCTTCTGATTTCTTTTCAATCTCTCAGATTCTAAGTGTACTATTTTAACGATACGAAATTTTTGGTTGGCGATGTACACCGGTTTCCGGATCGGTTTTGGCTCGAGGAATTATCTTGAGGAAACGATTTTATTTTCCTTCTCGGACCAATGTTCAGCCGTTGGTCGATAATCCTTCTCCAGGTGGAGATTGGGAGAGCATAAATGGTAGTTTATAGGAATTGGTCTCTCGATTGCTCGAGTTTGTATCTCCTTTTCTGGGTCACCAGAAGATCGATCACGAATAATCCTTTTCGCTTAAGGATCGCTTCCCTTTTATTCGTATTTACCTTAAAAGAATGGGGGAAGAATAGAGATACTTCTACCTTTCTCCTTAACAAGAAATTGTAATAAAAAAAATCGGCATTCCTTCAGAGCACGACGAATTATTATCAAGAATACCGAGGAATGCAATCGTCAGATGGTTCTTTGCTCGAGCGTGAACAGGCGTGGAAAGAAAATTGAATTCGCCCGACCAGAGAATGTTCAACCAAGTTAAAAGCGGTTTCACTATTCGGAAATTAACAGAATCGTTGAAGGTTTGCGCGCCGTTTCTTCATCTTTCACGAAACGCAGAGAAGGCGCCTCTGACGGAAGAGGATTTCCGCTTTTCTGCGCGAGGAACGCGAAAAGAACGAGGGCGAATCTTGAGAAGCGAAATAATGAACGTGATGCCGGGGTCTACGAGACAATTTTACGGCAAACTGCAGGACAATGGCCGGATAAATGATTTCGTTGCGATAGAACGGTGGTTCGCGCTTAATTATAGGGAGGACGGGGGTGGAAAAAGGGAGTATCGCTCGAGTGAGTTCGCAAAGGGACAACCGAAGGACTTGGCGCACAAAGGAGCTGGCGTGGTAGACAGTCGAATGAATTAACAAAGTGGAATTAATTGATTCCAAAGGGTCCGTCGAGGTTGTGATGGAATTTTCGGTTTTAAGGAAATTGCGATTCCCCGTGCCAGAAAATCGTGTAATTTCAACGGTATAGAAAAATATGACACTCGAGACAGTGTGACGATTTAAATTTTTTTTTTTTTTTTTGCATTGAAAATTGTTATTCAGATTATATTTGCTCGAATATCGATATGAGGATATTTACGTTATTATACACTTAAGATCAAATTATAAATCAAAATGAAGTAAAATTAAATAAATTGAAGCATCTACATGCTTTACTTCACGATAATCGTTGCTATGGAGCAAAATCACAAATGAAACTTTAATTTTTCGTGTGAAAAGTATGGGGGAAAAAGTTGAAAATTTTGGCATCAAAACACCCTTGGAAAGTAGAGGAAGCCATGCCATTAAAGTTCTTTTTTGTTTTATCCCGATATCTCAATTGGTTGCCAAGATCTAAGGGCTCAAAGTTTCCATACCGCTTAAAACGGGGCACGAGAATTATGAATGGGCACGCGACACAGTGACCTACATTTTTTTCCTGGAAATGCGTACTATGCATTATTTCCAGGAATCGCTCACTCGTCTGGACTTTGGGATAGGTCAGTGAGGCGAGGTGCGAGCGAAAGGTCCGAGTAAGCGACAAGGACGAAGATAATAAATGACGAAAAATTACCCTTTTCTTTGCACGACGATATCTCGGGAACCGGAAGTCGTATCGAGATAAATGAAAAAGGGTTTTAAAGAGCAAGGATCCGCGCTTCTGTTGATCGTTGGCCGTTGACCGGAAGTCGTTATCTTCGAAGTTACAGCGATTCAAAGTTTCGGTAATTTTAATAGGATTCAATCGAGTTTAACGTAAAGGATTAAAAATTACATTTTCTTTACGCGACGATATCTCGGAAACCGGAAGTCGTATCGAGATAAATGAAAAAGGGTTTTAAAGGGCAAGGATCCGCGCTTCTGTTGATCGTTGGCCGTTGACCGGAAGTCGTTATCTTCGAAGTTACAGCGATTCAAAGTTTCGGTAATTTTAATAGAATTCAATCGGGTTTAACGTAAAGGATTAAAAATTACATTTTCTTTACGCGATGATATCTCGGGAACCGGAAGTCGTATTAAAATAAGTGAAAAAGCGTTTTAAAGAGCAAGGATCCGTGCTTCTAATGATCGTTCATTCGTTGACCGGAAATCGTTATCTTCGGAGTTATAGCGATTCAAAGTTTTTCGAATTTTAATATCGTTTCAAAAACAAATTTTAAAGTAAATTGCGCGATAAATATGATTATTTTTGAAAGTATATTACTTATAACGATATTATTAATGGTCCATTAAAGATAATTGATTTGAAAATATACATTTAACAACAAGCTCCTCGATCGTTATTTTCATAATGCAATTTCACTTATTTTAAGGATTTTTTGTATTCAAGATCTTCATATTTTATAATTAAACGATTTTAGTTGTACATTCCGCTTTGCAATTCTGCCAAAAATCTTGTTGCAAGTCTTTGTCTCGGAGAGCAACGATTTAAGAAATTAACGTCGGAGATCTTTACAAATTGCAATTCGACTAGACTAATTCGAATAAAACGAAGCAAGTGTCGACAAAGATAGGAAAATCTGGCACGATGACTAACGCATTCACCGATACCAACGACGTTGTTTGGATCAGTGACACGATGCACGATGATCATTTGCCAACGTTATAAATCAGACTCATAGTTAAATGATATTTTGTCACGTACTCCAAAGAATCGTCGAGTTTTTTCGCGTGCAAAAATATCACGTTTCGCTTATATTTAAAACGATCAATTGTTCTCAGAAATTTTCTCGCCAATTTTCATTTTTCTTCTCGAATAGTTCTCGACTTTCGAAATTCCCTCGAAAACTTTCGAAAATTATTCGTCGTTCAAAATTAACGATTCTTCGACGACGAGACAACGGATTCTTTGATCGCGTCGACTCTCGTAACAAACCGTGACACGTGTCCAAAGATAAATTAACAAATGTCAGATCGACAGGTGTCACGTCGGATGAGGCAGCGAACAAGCGAGAACTTTCCATGTTTGTGCTTGGCTATTTTTTGATATATCGATGCTTCCTTTCAATATAATTTGAATCGCTTTGAAATACCTTTAATAAATTTAATAAATAATAAAAGTAAGAAATTGAAATTTCGAAGCTTCGTTTAAAAAACAAAAAATTGCCTTTCGTACACAAAAATGTGAAAGTTTCTTTCAACGAATAGTTTCAAATAACAAAAAAGAAAAGGAAAAAAAATAACAAACGTTTTCCATTCCATTGCTAAATGAATATCATTCCCAACTCTGCAAACATTAGAGAGTTTAAACTCGTTGAATTGGAGCTCGTTGAATTGATACAGGTTATTACCGATCCGTGTTTGCGAAATAGACCATGATCTGGTAATAAAATGAAAATGGATTTCATAGCGATGGCGATGATAACGCGTAACAGAGCCGCGGATAACGGCGGCGACGGGAGTACAAAAGCGGAGCATCGATCATTTTCCGAATTTCTATTAATCAACTCTTCCGATCAGTTCGAGTAATTAACCAGTTACACCCTCCCTCCCCCTTCGTAAATGGAACAAAGGGCGTGTGTGCGTTCACAACGATTCGGCCAATTGTTCTCGTTATTGTTGTTAAATATATACGCGCTCGAAATTGACCGATACTTCGATCCGAATAATTTAACGACCGCGAAAACGCGGAAATTAATTCAATCTTCAGAGAAATTATTTTTAATACTTCATTTTGGCGATTAATCCTTTGGAGATTTAATAAAATAAATAGTTTCAAGACACGTGTGTTTTTTCAAATATCCAAACTCGCGCCTGATTCATTTTTCCTCGTTGGAAGGAATTTGAAAACGATAGAATATTTCGCGCGAGGAAATCAAAGAAATCGCGTCCCAATGGTGGTCTGGCATCCCCTCGAATTATCATAATCTCGCCCCTCCACCTGGAATGGAGTCTCTCGCGCCCACCGTCGTCATCTCATCTCGCCAATAAAACGAAAATGCACTTGAACGCTGTTATCAAGAACCGAGGAACAATCGAGGCTCGCGCGCGTATTCACGGCTGCTTATGCACGATTGTTCCACCACGGGGTATGCTCGAATATGCGTGCATTAATACCTGTGGATACCCGCATTCGAAACAAACGGTTAATGTTATACACGATGAATAAAACATGCACAACGTGTCCCGCCCTTTCCTCGATTCGATATCGATTCGAACAAACGCGGCCAAGTTTCGACGATTGTTTCACGTTCGACGTGAAGTTGCACTCGCGCTGTCCGTTGCGCTTTTATCGCGGATAAATTATTGCGGAAAGAATTTTGGAATCCCGTGGGAGGAAAGGGGATTATGGAGAGGCTTGGATCTTTTTTTTTTTCTTGGTTTGAAGAGAGATAATAAAAAATGTATACTTACATTTTGAGTATGTATATTAATTTGATATTGGAGTTTCTAAATTAATAATTATAATAATGATACGTGGAAATTAAAGATAAGTGATTCAAAGGAAGTTTTATAATTCGTTAGTTGGTATTTTTTGGGAAATATGATAATTCATATTTCATTTTTTTTTATATTTTCAGGAAAACACGAGGAGGCTCTCTAATAAAAATTATGAGATATAATTTTTCATTATTCGCGCAAAATAAGGTCGGGCAATACGTGTAGAATTAAATGGAGAATCTCGATATCTGGAAATGTCAAAATTCCTCTATTGAAGTAATGTTTATGGCCTTATTCTCCCATCTTAGCGAAGAGCAAACGTATTGCTAGCTCCTAAGCATAACCGTTTATGTAGCGCAATGAAGCGCAATTATTATAATCACGTTGAACTCGTGTGAGGAAAATTAACAACCTACACCTCGACTCGGAAATATTTTAAGCAATTCGTCACGCGGCCACTTCATCTGTAGCGAGACAAATTTCACACGCTCGTTTGCATATTTTCGTCGTCCAAAAAGTGATATATAAAAATTAATACTTTTTTTTGTCTTTATTCGAATGCAAGAAACGTTTTACAGTTAATATCACGTCTCTCTTTCTTTGTTCCAGTGCGTATTGTACCTGTGGGCACTTAAGCTGTGCCATCCAACCACACTGTTCCTCCTTAGAGGCAATCACGAGTGCCGTCATCTCACGGAATACTTCACATTTAAGCAAGAATGTAAGTAATTTCACACCGATTACGAATGAATGATTGTCATAAAGTTTTTTGGGGTTTGAGATTTTCATTCGATTCAAGAATTCGATTGTTCCGTTGAGTTTTGATTTTTCGAGATTGAAATAAATGAATGAATAAATTTTCTCTTTCTTTCTCACGATGGACGATGGACGATGGAGGTATTTTTCGAAAGATCAGATTTCCGATTTTCCGACGCTTGTTCACACGAACTTCGATCGATTTTCAATGGGTGATCGGTTTCCCTCGATTTCATTTCGAGTTCAAATTTCAACGAAACCGCGCAACGATACGAGAATAAAAATAGAAATAAAAATCAGCGTTCAAAGCACAAAGGATTCCATTTAGTATTACTATTCTATTCTGGATTTTCATCCTACCCTTTTGTCGAAACTGGCAGCATTCTTTATTACGATGCTGATTCTCCTGGCAAACGGTTTTCGTTACGTTTTCGAAAGAAATATCATCCATCGTTTTCGATTTAACTTCTTTAATTTAATTTAATTATTATTAATCTTTTGCTCCACTCTCCAGATAACATTTTCATCTTCGTTCATAATTTTTTTTTAGAAAGAAAATATATCTTTCGATTCAGAGATTTAGCTTCTCTCGTGATTTCACAATGTCAATTTTGATATCTTTTTTCTTCTTCTTCTTTGTTCATTTATTTTGCCCATCCATTCAATGGACGTTAAAGATAAATTATCTTTATAACGAATACGCGATAACGAACTGCGATCAAATAAATCATAACTCGTAAATCGTCTCGTGAAAAATTAATGACGCGACTAACGCTATTACATGAACGATAAAAAAAGGTACTTAGTAACTCTTAAAGTAACAAGTTTGTAATTTGCCAAAGCTGAGAATGATACGTTTAATTCAAAGTTTAATAGAATCTCGAAACGTTGTTGACGATATCGTTAATTAAACATCGTTAAGCTTGAAATTTAGACAAGATTCTTTAAAAAAAAAAATTCCTAAACTCGAATAATTATCCAAAATTATCCTCTTCGAAATTTCATTCACAGATAATATCATCGTTCATTTCATCGAAACAAGTCAAAGTCCATTCTTTGCATAGTTGAGGGATAAAAGTTGCATTTTCCATCTTCGTTCGATTCCAGAAGAGATTTCAGAAGGTTATATCATTGAAAAAAATTTTCGTTTCCCTGATCAATCGCAGAATGATATATCTAACTATATTATTCCTAGTTTTGTAGATAAATCATCGATAACACTGATGATGAATCTCTGATTTCGCAAAGAATGCGCGTAACTAAATTACGTGTAGCAAAAAGCGATATTTCTTTCGCAACTACGAGTGTACAATGGTAATTCGTCGATCCTTATCGATGCACTGCCATTGTCAAAGTAATACGCCAATATGTCAACCTATCCTATTTGTCGTTAACAGAGTAATCCTCGTTTGCACAGCTTTCTTCCAACATCCATAAAAATTCAGATACGTCTCTTTAATAATTTACGTTGATGTACATCCTCCTAAAATTTATCTCCTATTATCATATATATGATTTTCTTGCGACATCTTTATCCACTTTTCAATTTTCCATAGGAATATATACATAGATATATTTATTCCAATTAATAATGTGAGAGAAGGTTTCGATTTTCGTTTGCACAGATTTCTTCCAACATCATAAGAATTCAGATACGTCTCTTTAATAATTTACGTTGATATATATCCTCCTAAAATTTATCTCCTATTATCATATATACGATTTTCTTGCG